ATACCAGCTCAAGGCAGCACCAGACCCTGTCAGGACAACAGATGCAAAACCTGTAAACATATCTCCATTGTTATGATGATCAACACCCCCGCAATACACCTTTCAAGATCCATAGGTCCTGCAACATGCCTATCACGATATGCGATATGTGAAGGTGCACCCCATAATGCTTTATGAAAATATGCTTATGAATGTATATATGACATAACTGGAATATGTTTTATGCTACATATGCCATGTAACATATCTATGTAAAGGTTATGATCTACTGAATATATTCATCCTATTTTTATGCATGTGTCATTGTTGTATTTGAAGTTATGAATATTGGCTGTATACGTTTGATTTTAAATAGCCTTAGTAAGGCATTTGGTCAGCTTCTTTAGAAAGGAATTTGCAAGTTAAGAGCCCAGTCAAGAAGCACTTAACAGACAATGGATCTTGGAAGGCTCCAATCCACATAAGTCTACATGAGGACGTTCAAGCTAGCATGTGAACCGTGGCTGCTACCTGTAAGTTCTGAGTCATGCATGAGCATGTGACTTGCCCATGTGACTCCAAAACTCCATCTTGGAGCTGAAATTCTACACAGGAGAGAGGGGTATCCACCCACAAGAGAAAGTCTATTTAAACCCCTGGAAGACCCCTCCATTTTGTCTTCAGCTGGCTCAAGAGATAGCCTCTCCACCCCCAAGAATACCAGAAAGAGACTGGAACAAAGGACAGTAACTACAGGAGGTGTGAGTGATTGCTGGACCCAAATTAGAAGGAGACTAGTCTGTAAAAGGAAGCTTACTGGAACTCCTATGAGGGTGAGGTTTTATCTGTATTCAGTTTTCTTACTGTATTAAACATAGACTTGCATGTTTTATTTTATTTTGCTTGGTAATTCACTTCGTTCTGTCTGTTACTACTTGGAACCACTTAAATCCTACTTTCTGTATTTAATAAAATCACTTTTTACTTATTAATTAACCCAAAGTATGTATTAATACCCAGGGCGGGGGGGGGGAGGGGGAACAACCATGCATACCTCTCTATCAGTGTTATAGAGGGCGAACAACTTATGCGTTTACCCTGTATAAGCTTTATACAAGGTAAAACGGATTTATTTGGGGTTTGGACCCCATTGGGAGTTGCGCATCTGAGTGTTAAAGACAGGAACACTTCTTAAGCTGCTTTCAGTTTAAGCCTACAGCTGTTAGGGGACGTGGTTCAGACCTGGGTCTGGGTTTGCAGCAGGCTAGCGGGTCTGGCTTAAACCAGGCAGGGCACTGAAGTCCCAAGCTGGGAGGGCAAGAAAGCCGTGGCAGAAGTAGTCTTGGCACATCAGTTGACAGCCCCCAGGGGGTTTCTGTGATCCAACCCGTCACAAGATATACCTCATACAGTGCACTAAATGCCCCAATAACTACTATGTGGGTGAAACCAGACAATCACTATGCTCTTGAATAAGCTCACACAGAAAAATAATAAAAGACAAAAACACAGTATCACCTACGGGGGAACACTTTTCACAAAGCAATCTCTCTATATGTGACCTCTCAGGCCCCATCCTCAAAGGAAACCTGCACAACATCTTCAAAAGACAAACCCGGGAGCTTAAATTCATAACACTAAAAATCATGGACTGAATAGAGACACTGGATTTAAAGCGTATTACAACAATCTATAACCCACTAATACCCCTCCCATGTTTTTTCTTCTTCATCCCCCCCACCCCCACGACTGGGGAGGTGTTAACTGGCCACTTCCCCTTGAATGGTCTCTTGAAATATGTGTTAACTATTTATGCTAAACAATCTGTTCCACCTTGTATTTAGCTGTGACATCCTGAGTACCTTTCCCAGAGTTCTGCGTAAGCTTGAAAGCTCATCTCTTTCACAAACAGAAGTTTTCTCCAATAAAAGATACGACCCCACCCAACTTGTCTCTCTGATGGAAATTAAAGATTTTTGGTGAACTGGTGCTCCATATTTTTCACATATAATCTCAAATGCCTTGAATAGTCAAAGTACTTAACCACGTGCTTAACTTTAAGCATGTGCTTAAGTCATATTGATTCCAATGGGACATAAGTAGATGTGCTTCGCTGAATCAGGGCCAAAATCTGTAGGACAGGGATTCTAATATAAGTAACAATCTCTGCTATTAGGCCTAGACCGTTATCATTAATCCAGGCAAAATGGACATTCCCACATGCATAAAGGGTATTTCCTATTTTGGCCGTGATGGATTATAATATTTAGCTCTTATATAAGATCATGTTATAAAAGAGATGGCCCAATCAAGCCATATTTCCCAAAGGAAAATACGAAATGGGCAATGCTCATTTTGTCCTTCTGAGCCAATGTCCATTCCAAGCAGACAGATAACAGGGAGCCAGGTTTAGGGATTCGTTTTGTCATGTCCTCATACTGCTTCCTAACACATCCATGCACATACCATTGCCTAATCATTGCACTCCGCCAGGTCACTGGAAGAGCATTCACACTCAAGCAGCTGGCATCACAGGAGATGCTTCGTATTTTGAGGCTCTCTGCCGCAGCCAGAGGTATTGGAGCCAGTGATATAACCCCAGATGATCATCACTTCTCTAGACCAGACCCACGCCAGTGCACTATTGATTAAGGGAAGTCCAAGGCTGATCTGCACTGGGTGGTAGGTGCTCGACTGGTGGGAGCCAGAGCACACAGCTACAGGGTCGTTCTCTACTCTTGTTTGCCATAACTGAACCTTTGTTGGGTGACAATGTTTTGTGTTTAATGGTGGCAAGAAAACTTTGTTGTGACTTCAGTTGACTCAGCATTGGTGTTGTGTAGCCGAGCGGATGTCTTGGATCTGTGCATTGCTTTGTGCGTTTGACTCTACAAGCAACTACCCAGCACATATCAGGAGGAGCAATACCTGAGAGGATGAAGAGGCTGTGACATGGGTAGGCTTAAGGCATCCTGTAATATAGCAGCAAGCAGTGTTAACAGATGGAAGAAGGTATAGGGAAGGAAGAAGCAGAGGGATCAGAAAATCAATGGAGAGTCTTAGCAGAGGTGGGAGCCCAACAGTGGGAAGTCAGTGAGGCATCTTTTCCTTGGGAGGCAACAGGGAAATCAGTAAGGAGTTCAAGGGACAAGAGTGCAGTGAGCAATGAGAAGTATGATCTGTCCAGAAGCAGAGGCAGGAGAGGGAGCAGGGGAGCCATTAGAGAATCTCCCACCTCCAATTTCCGGTTGGGTGTGAGCAAAACAAGCTGCGCTGAACAACTGCTTGGCTTCGGAGAAAGGCTTTTTTTGTCCAGTTGATGTAGAATAAATCCAGTACACTTCAAGTGGAATTAGCTCACTTTAGCTGCGTTACACCATCAAAATATACCATCCTAAGAATGTTTAACTGGCTGGAACATTAAGTTTGCTTTCATCCCCAGGAAAGCTTTTGGGATAAAGATGCTGAAAACTCCAGGCCTGGTCTGTCCATATGCATTTGTTCACTGCCATAGATTTGGGGTTACTTTGACTCAGCTACACCCTCATAATGGCTTGGATCAAATATATCCTCAAAATTACAAAATATGACCCAGAGCCTGTAAACCCTCATTCTGACATGCTGCTTCATTGGTATCATTGTCCTATGAGCAAGGATTACTCCTGTGAGTAAGGGATTTCAGGGCTAGTCTCTAAGCTGAGGTACTTTCAGAAAGATGAGAAATAGGTTCATCTGAAGAAGAGCTCTGTCCTAGCTGCAACTTAATGTGAAACATTTAGATGAACAAAGACTAAAGAAAAAGAAAAATCCACCTGTGAGTTAAATAACAAGAAAATGTTACCAGTGAGTATATACTTACCCGTCCCCTCAATTTATTTGCCTAGAAATGTGAATCATTTAAGGCCAGATGCTGATACCTATACTCTGGTTTAGTAACCCCACTGACTTTAGGGGGTTACTCATGAAGTAAGGTACTATTCAGCATGAGAAAGGGCATCATAATATTAAAAGTTAATCATGTAGGGTCTGATTCTTTCACCCATACACTCACTGAGCAGCTTCTTTCTATGCAAGGAGTCCCAGTGAGGTCATTGTATGAACCATGACAATCTTTTTTTCCAATTTCTTATGCAAAAATATTGATGCCTTTGAATTAAAAAGAAAGAAGAGTCATCAGTATTACCATGATACATGGATTATTTCATTGGAAAGCTGATGACATATAGTAGAAAAAACACTTTGATAAAGAAGCTTATGCCTTTTCTTTTTTATTTCTAAAATGTGGCTAATTCCTGCTTTGAGCATTTTGATACTTGATCAAACATTTAATTCACATTTATATATAAAGAAATTATATTTTAAGAACATGCTCTTCTGCTCGTTCCCTCCTCACTCATGAAATTCTTCTGGGTTAAGGCCTGTACTGTTAGGGAGACTAGGAGTGGTTGTAGGCCTGTTTGAAGAAATCAGTCTTGATGGATTTGAAGGAGGATTTAGTTACAGGGAGGATTTGGAAACAGAATTCCCAGGACTTTTTACCCTGGTTGATTTCTTTTTTTCCTTTCCCTCCCTCAAGTGAAAATGTCATGAGTTCCTTGGTTTTGGAATGCCATGTTGTTGTCCTTGGAAATATAATTCACAATGAATTATCTTCTCAAAGGAAGCGTTCAGTCTCTAGAGAAGTTTCATGTCTTCAAAAGGCCATTTTGTGGGTATTTTAATGAACATGAATACTGTACACAGCAAACCTGTGGCATGTGCAGCCAGCAGCACTAAAAGCCTTGAACTCCAGAGATTCTTAAGTTTGCAAAATGAGACTACCGCTGTGTCACTAACAGTGGTTCAAATAGACTATGGCACCTTACTGGCAAATGGAATCAAAATCAGATCAGTTTTGGTAATATGTCTCAGAGCCATGTGAAAGGTAACCACACAAGAAATAAAGTATATTAGTAATATTATTTAAACAGAACTTAGGTAATGCAGACGGCGACTTGAATACACAAGCTTGAAAAACTTACCAGCAGGTGTTATGGTAGTTTTTGGTGCTGGAAGTAAACTCCTGCGGGGAGTTGCTGTGCTGGTTGATACCTGCAGTGCAGTCCTACTGGTCCCCTTGGGTAAATCTTTAGAAGGCACAGATGCCTTAGGAGGGGTTTGCTCTTCACTGCCAAAGTTTGAACCTGCAGGAGGCCAAAATTGCACTAATTATAACTTCATAAAAAATGTATGCAAGTTCTGGAGCATAGACTGAGCTCATGTTTACAATTATAAGCTATAAAGGCATATTCTCCTCATTACTCAGACTGACTCTGTTACATGTATATTTCTCCCAATCCCACCGGTTATTCACAGGTAAAGGGTTCCCAATACTGGATTTCTACTATGTTAAGTCTAGGCTGCTTTTAGGGCCTTTTTCTGACAGCACTTACTACCGGCCTCCTTAGTGCTTACTACTGTGAGCATTTTTGCTTGACTACTGTCCATGGAACCACCGATGGCAGTAAGCACCTTACTTACTGTAAGATCAGGGCCAGAAGGCATAGCACCTTGCAGAATCAAGTCCTTAATCAGCTAGGGTTTGTTACAATCAATTCTTCTGATCTTATACAGAAATTTGAATGATAACATGAAAAGAAAAATCTGCTTTAATCAGCACATACTTTTCAATCATATTCTCATACTTAATCTAAGGTTGCCAAGGTTTCCATTTGATACAAACCTTTCAAAACCCCTGTACATGTTCACTTCGCTTTCCTGTATTTGCCACCTCAGAAATAATCACATCCTATGCTCCTTGCAGATATAAGGAAATCAGTTTTTTTCTACATTTAAAAAAGAAACAGTGGAGTGTCTTCTTATCTATTAAGTAGAAAGCCTAAGCGGAGTGAGAGATTACAGCAGGTTTGGACTTGAACATTTGCAGGAATATGAAGCATTTGCTTGAAAAATGAGCACAGACACTGGCAAGAAAGATACAGAATTTCACAGAAAGACTATCATTTTTTATTTTCACTATTTTAAACAGAGAGGAATAAAATGCTATTTAGGTATGGCCTGGAGGGAAATGATAACATTATTAAAATAGCTAGCATGCCAAAGTCCTCAGTCTTTTTAAGATGTAGGCTTCTATTCATGCATAAAGAGACTTTTAATTTTCTTTCTGAACATCTTAGGATCTGTTATAAAAAAGGTGCACGTTTCAAAAAGAAAAGCACCTTTTCTGATAAAAGGAAAAACTGTATCACCCAGCTTTGAAAAAATACCTTAAGGTTTGCTGTCCCTTGCGTGCCGGTCTTAAGTTAAAGGAGTGTGCCTAAAGTCTACATTAATTGCTACAAACACATTTAAAAGACAAGGTGGGTGAGGTAATATCTTTTATTGGACCTCAGAGCTCTTCTTCAGGTCTGGGAAAGATAGAAGGAGCTCTGTGTAGCTCGAAAGCTTGTCTCTCTCACCAACAGAAGTTGGTCCAATAAAAGATATTACCTCTCGCGCCTTGTCTCTCTAATATCCTGGGACTGACACAGCTGCAACTACCCTGCATACTACAAACTCATTTGACCTTTACTCAAATAACAAGCTACATTAAAAATTCAAATTAAACCATCTACTGTATTTGAATGGGAGCAGAAAAACCACAAGCATGTATCATCCTAACACTGCCATGCACATAACACCCCAAATGCATTACACAGTTGTGTTGCTTCAGAATTACAGGAATTTTTCACCAGTTTAACAAAGGTTAAAGATTATGGAGCTAATTCTCTGCTGGTAGAATTCCATGGACTTGAATGAAGTTAGACCACCAGGAAATTTGGCCCAACCTATGTAATGTCCACTGCAGTTGTGCATGCTGAAGGCTCTCCTGGATGTTAGTGATATTTTATTGGGCATGCTCTCATTTAATCATTTAACCACGTGCTGCTAAAATTTCTTCAAGAGGAAATATTTCTTGTTATTTGCAGAGATATACACATCAAATGTCCTTTTATTTAAACCTCATATGCCTCTCTTTTATTCTCTTATGTGAAATTTATTATACAGAGAATATTTCAAATTAGAAATCTGGCTAGCTTCCAGCAGGGAAGCAATTCTTCTGTCTGAAGCATGAGGTGTCAGGGGAAGCTATATAATCTCTTCTGAGAGAGATCTTGCATTACAAATAAATAAATAAATAAATTCAGATTTTTAGTATGAAGTGCAGCTGGCAACAAAAAGCCTTGCCCTTTGAAACACAACAGAAGAGGGCCAATAATTAAAGAATCATTACAGGCTGAATGGAAAGCCACCTGAAATGTGATGTGATCATATACCAGGTATCCAGAAATGCCCAGTACCTGGAGAGTGATGTTAAAGCCTATGGTCATTTCCTGTCACATACACTGTATTGCTGATAATAGAACAGAAGAGGAACAAATACTCTCAGAATTTTTTAAATTATTTGTTCCGTTATTCATCTTTTAATAAGGAGATATTGACTTCTTGAAGATGTCAAGTTGAATAGCAAGATTTATAGATCCAAGAGGTACCACGCTAAGGTCAGTGTTTTACTTAAGGGACAATATATCTCATCTTTCTGTTCACCCAAATATGAAGTCTATACACATGTGAATGTGTGTGGGAATACATGTGTGCACACAGACACACGTATGTTTACATAATCTCAAGGCTGTTCCCGCTGATGTCACTGGGGACAGGATTGGGCCCTCATTGTTCCAATCAGTCGAGCAGCAGGGCTGGAATTCCAGCTAGCTACATACATTTCCGGAATTTTTCTTTTCTTTTAAGCTAACATTCTGAAGCAGAGAGTAAATTAAAACCCACTATTCCTCACCTCCTGAGAGGAGAATAATGGTTTCAATTAACTCAGTGCAGCTACTTACCTCTCGGAAGCAAATTAGGTAACGTGATGACTCCTCACTTAACAATTTTCCGTCAGTCATGACAGCACTTTTCCATCTATGGCCCTGTAGTGGGGTAGTCACCCGCTCCTGCGTTAAAAGGCTTAAAACAGCCTGGGGAGAGGCTGTGGCAGGGAAGGAAAAGTGGGGCTGACTGGGAGAAGCAGCCTCAGCTGGGGGCCATGCCCCAATCAGGCCGCAGCTGGCTTAATCAGGGCCCAGCTGGCCCTTATAAGAGGGCAGTGGGCCAGGAGCAGACAGAGTGTCCTCTAGCTGTGGAGGGGGATGGGCCTGGCTGCTGGGGAGCGTACCAGGGTACCTGAGGTGAAGCAGGGCTGGGGAAGGCCAGAGGAGCTGGGAGGCTCCAGACTGGAAAAGCCCCAGGCTGCAGGCCTGGCAGACGGCCTAAGCCAGGGTACTGGGGTTGCAAAAGAGCAGCCCACGGGTAGGCAGAGGTAGCAGGTTCAACCCCCCCCTTGCCTATGATGACTGGCTTATACAGACTGCAGTCGGCCCCAGTGAAAGGGGGCTAGATGGTGACTGGCAGTAGCCCATAGGCTGAGGCAAGGTGGGGATAGAGGGTGGGAGGTTCCCCGGGAGGGGAGATCCAAATCTGTGGGGTATTGCCTGGAGGGGTAGCTCCCCAGGCAAAAGGGTACCGGGGTCTGGGAGGGACACGGGGGCCAGCGATGGCGAGACACTGGCAGAGGGCGCTCCAGAGCTGGTAAAAAGAGCTAATTCCTAGACAGCCAGCAGGAGGCGCCGCTGGGTGAGTCTGCACCCTGTTACAGGCCCATGAGTGACTCAATATTATTTGCTCTCTTAAAATCTACCTATTCCTTATTTTTTTAAATAAAAAGAATATACAGAAACAGCAAGATGAGCAGATGCATGAAAGGAGTTTCCACGGGATTACATTGCTAGAAAAATGTAGAGGCTAGAAATGAGGACTGGATGAAAATGAAATAGGTCTCATCCTCTTGGGATGGTCCTTCTAGGTCAGAGTTAAGGTACATTGGGCAGGTAGCGTAAGGAACCTTGCGCTTGGATGTCCGGCTGTACTTGATCTCTGAACAGAGGATTTTAATGCTGGTACCTTTCATATTCAACAAACCAAACGGGAAAACAATACATCCTTCCTATATAAACTGAACTTTGACATGTTACGCAGTACTCCTTTCCCGACATGACTGGCAGATGTCAGTGCCTTAACATCCACTGTAGGTTTGGAATTGTGTTTTCCCATAGAATAGGCACTAAAAGAGTTTTCATCATGTGCTGTGTAAGGGCCTAAAGCTGTCAATGCCATACATTGGCCGTGAGTTAACTTTTAATTTAAAGATATGTGTGAGTGAAGAAAGTGTAGAGATGTGGAATTACTGTACCAATTTGCTCACGAAGATCGGGAAAATGATTTCTTGATTCAAGTCTTCACTGTTTGCTGTGTTATGCATATAATGCATGAAGAGCGTAGATGTTAAATAACAGTTCCCCAAGAAATCCTACAGTACATGCTTTAAATTGTTGTTGTCTATCTGAGGATCAGAGGAGGCTATGTAAAGACAAAGCACTGAAGATTTTCTACCAATAGATGAAACCTTGTCCCTCTTCTTTAGGGGTCTGGATGGACCTAAAGACAGTGGAATGTTAGTGGTTTCACTTTTCAGGGAACAGATAGGCCATGCAGGGGAACTACTCCATGTCCCCAGTGCACTATAGAGTACTGCTACCAATGGGTGACTGATTTCTCATGAGTAATGCAGAAAGCAGAAGCAAGGGACTGTCCAGTGAGTCCACAATTACAAAGATAATGACCCACTCTTCAGTTCCCTCATTCCCACCTTGCAGAGGAGGGAAGCATCAGTCGTGGATTCTATGCATTCAGTACCCACACCTAATGCTTGTGTGATGCATGACATGATTCTATGACAGAAATTACCTCTGTTACATGAGAGAGGGGGAGCACGAAGCATGGTTCTCTATTGCTGCAGCTGCAGGACAGTTCTATAATGTGATTTATTATTATGAGCCTTAGTTAGTTTGTATCTGGAATAGAAGGAGTCCATTCTCAACATATACAGAGGACCTTTGCAAAAGCTCAGGTATTCTGACTTTGCACAGGGGATGAAGATAATATATAATATAATATTACTGTTTATGGCACATGGGCAGACAGTGATTTGTGGCAATTACAGCACGGGACTGGAAATCAGGATTCTTGTATCCTATTCCTGTTCCTATGTCCTGTTTCTGGTTCTCCCACTGATTTTGTGTGACAT